GGAGAGCACATACAAACTCCAGAGTCAATGGCCCCAGCCATAACTGATTCCCTACCCCCCCCATTAATGTCATAAGAAGATGACGTTGAACAAAACGTTAATCGAGGACCTGCTGTGTATGGTTCGTGTTCTTTCTGCCTGTGGATGCTGGTGAGTGAGCATCAATTCTCTCCACCCACTGTTGTCACATTCGGTTTCCCAGGAGCTTTTCGTGGGAGGGTTGAGCTTTGAAACAACTGAGGAGAGTCTGTGGAGCCATTCTGAGCCATGGCGAATGCTCACGGACTGTGTGGTAAAAAGAGCCAAACACCAAGCACTCCAGGGGCTCTGGGTTTGTCATGCATGTATGCCACCGTGGAGGAAGTGGCTGCAGCCACGAATGCAAGGCCACACGAGGTGGACGGAAGAGTTGTGGAACCAAAGATGGCTGCCTCAAGACAAGATTCTCAAAGGCCTGGTGCCCGCTTCACTGTGAGAAAGATTTTTGTGGGTGGCACTGAAGAAGACACGGAAAACCGTCACCTAAGAGATGATTTTGAACAGGACGGGAAAACTGAAGTGACTGAAATCATGACCGACTGAGGGACTAGCAAGAAGAGAGGCTTTGCTTTTGTGACCTTTGATGACTGTGACCTTGTAGACAAACTCACTCAGAAATACCATCCTATGAATGAATGGCCACAACTGTAACGTGAGGAAAGCCCGGTCTAAGGAAGAGATGGCTAGTGCTTCGACCAGCCAAAGTGGTTCTGGAAACTTTGGTGGTGGCCATGATGGTAGTTTTGGTGGAAATGACAAGTTTAGTCATGGAGGAAACTGCAGTGGTCAAGGTGACTTTGGCGGAAGATGTGGTGGTGGTGGTGGATATGGTGGCCGTGGAGAAGGCTATGGTGGATTTGACAATGATGGAAGCAGTTTTGGAAGTGGAAAGATTTATAGTGATTTTGGCGATTACAACGTCAAATTCCGGACCCATAAAAGGGGAAACTCTGACAGGGAAGCTACAGGTTATAATAGATTTGTGAATTCAACCAAGCACAGTGGCAGCAAGGCCTTGCTGCTGTAAAGAAGACATGTTTCAGACAATATTTATGTGTGTGGGTGACAAACTCAAGGACTTTGACTAATTATACAACGAGTTATTTTAGCTTCTGTTCTGTGTAAAGTGCAAAGTGTAAAACATTACAACAAAGGGTTTTAATATACATTTTTGCGCCCAGGCTGTTGATTGCTAAATGTCATAGTCCAATTATGACACTGAATAAACCTATCTTTTAAAAAATCATAAAAATAAAGTTATAAGTTGCTTAAGGAGACAGACAGAGAGGAGAGCGGGCATTGAGGGACAAATACTAACCTTCTGATAGTGACCATCTCTAGAACGGAGAAGGAGGATGTAGCAGGGACCGACAGTTTATTGGGACTTTGGTGATATCTGTAATGTTTTCTTTCTTCTAAACATGACTGGAAGCAAATTGAAAAATGTTAACCCTTGTTAGTGCTGGGTGGTGGAAATATGTGTACTTGTTATGTTGTTCTTTGCTCTTTGCTGCAACTTTTGTTTTGTAAAAACAAACAAACAAACAAACAAACCTGTCTTTTCAACCTTACCCCCTCCGTACTTCTATCTGTATCATAAAATTTGCCAGTCTGCCGCTTCTCAGTTTCTGACCCATGTGTCTGTCTCTCTCACCTGTTCATGACCTTCCAGAGGGCTGGCTTGATAGCTCTGTGCCACAGGTGCCCAGGTGAGTCATGATCTGTTCGGTAAGTAGAGATCGAGCGCCTGTGTGCTGCGGCTGTGCAAGAGGCTGGAGATGGCAAACGACACCTTGCCCTCCAGAAGCTCACAGGGTAATGCGGGAGCAGGCAGTTCCGAGGGTAGGGAGGGACGGGGCTGGGGAAAACCCCCAGAGATCTGAAGAAGTAGAGACCATCCAATGGAGAGGCGGGAGAAAATACTTCCAGCCAAGGGTACGGTTTTTGTGCAAAAGCTTCAAGAGACAGCAGGGAGGATTTGAGGAACTAGAAATTCGGGGTGGTAGAGCGCCAAAGGGGAAATGGGGCTACAGAGGAAGGTGTGGGTGGAGGCGCAGGGTTTGGGAGCACAGCCTCAAGGTCAGTAGACCCAGGCTCTATCACTTACTACAAAGGCGCATCACTTACCCTATCTTTAAGCCTCGGTTTCCCAATCTACAAAATGGGGATTAAAAACATCATTTCATCAAGTTGTCGTGAGGCTTCAAGGAAGCAATAAATATAAAATGTTTGGCACTTGGTCAGGGCTCAATACATGCTAGTTTTACTATCTTTCTTTGGGGTCAAAGAGAAAGAGGCACAGAAGGATTGTAAGGGAGTGGCTGTGACCAGTGCAAAACTATTTTGACAATGATCACTTAGGCAACAG